AATCAGTTAAACAATGTCATTGTGCAAGTTCTGAAAGGTTGTCTTCCTATATAGCATTTCCTAGCTGGTTGACTCATTTGGCCGCTAATATGGTGGCTTGTTCAGGATTTATCCAATTCATGTATATATGTTTTGTCTCCCACCAACTCTAATCATTTGCTGCCGGAGACAGCAGCAGTGTCTCCCTTTTCTTTTGTAAAATGGTATAACCAGTTTGGAATACAGTTAGGTGGATTCTTAAAAAGTTAAATAATCCTGCAGAACAAAAAGGACAGTAGACAAAAACTAAAGAAAGATGTGTAAAGAAATGTCTTTAGTTAATAACAATGTATTAATTTTGATTCTTTTTTTTTTTTTTTTTTTGAGATGGAGTTTCACTCTTATCACCTGGGCTGTAGGGCAATGGCATGATCTCAGCTCACTGTAACCCCTGCCTCCTGGGTTCAAGCAATTATCCTGTCTTAGCCTCCCGAGTAGCTGGGATTACAGGTGCCTGCCACCACCGCCACCATGCCCAGCTAATTTTTGTATTTTTAGCAGAGACGGGGTTTCACCATGTTGGCCAGGCTGGTCTCGAACTCCTGACCTCAGGTGATCCACCCACCTCGGCCTCCCAAGGTGCTGGGATTACAGTCGTGAGCCACCGCACCTAGCCTGATTCATTTTGAATTAGTACACTTTATATATATATGTGTGTGTGTGTGTGTGTATATATATATGTGTATATATGTGTGTGTGTGTATATATATACACATATATATGTCATATGTGTCAGCAGTTCATTCCTTTTGTTTTTGAAACGGAGTCTTGCTCTGTCACCCAGGATGGAGTGCAGTGGCGAGATCTCAATGCACTGCAACCTCCACCTCTGGGTTCTAGCAATTCTCTGCCTCAGCCTCTTGAGTAGGTGGGATTACAAGCACCTGCCACCACGCCTAGATAATTTTTGTATTTTTAGTAGAGACCGGGTTTCACCATCTTGGCCAGGCTGGTCTCAAACTCCTGACCTCATGACCCACCCACTTCGGCCTCCCAAAGTGCTGGGATTACAGGCATGAGCCACTGCTCGTGGCCCATTCCTTTTTTATTGCCAAGTATATTCCATTATATGACTATACAACAATTTGCTCATCTATTCACCTGTTGATGGACATTGGATTGTTTCCAATTTGGACTATTATGAAGAAAGCTGCTATGACCATTCGTATACATGTCTTTGTATACACATATATTTCCTTTTCTCCTGCCTGGATACCTAGACATGGAGCAGTCCCCAATGTCGATAATTGGGGAAACGGGGTATCGGGTATATAGGAACTCTATATACTATCCTCATGATTTTCCTATAAATCAAAAATTATTCTAAAAAATACAGTTTGTTTAAAAATGATTTAAATTTTATTTAAAGAATAAACTAAAAATTAATTATATGTCTACTATACAATTCAAGCAAGCCATGTCTAGCTATTCAGGCAAGAGAAAAGAAAATATATGTGCATACAAAGATATGTATATGAACGTTCTTAGCAGATTTTTTCATAATAGTTCTAATTGGAAACAACCTGAATGTCCATCAACAGGTGAAGAGAAGAATAATTTCTGTATAATCATATAATGGAATACTATTTGGCAATAAAAATGGTATGAACTATTGACACATATAACAAGCTGGGATAAATCTCAAAATAATTCTGCTACATGAAATAATCCAGAAAAAAACAAGCGCCTATTGTATGATTCTGCTTATATAAAATTCTAGACAAGGCAGACAGATTTATAGTGATAGGAAGATCCCTGTTGTTGGAGATGGGCAGGAGGGAGGGATTTCAAAGGGACACCAGGAAACATGGGGGTGATTAATATGTTATCTTCATTGTGGTGATGGTTTCACAGGTGTATACATATCAGTCTGCCCTTAGAAATTGCACACTTTAAACTGTGTGATTTATTATATGTCAATTATACTCTGATAAAGCTGTTTATTTTAAAAGTTATATGCAGCCACACATACAAAAAGGGAGATTATTATCTTAGGCTCGTATAATTAGTACCCTTGATCACAAAACATGTCTGAGCTTTTTGGTGATGGAACTTCTGCTACTATGTACTAGTGTACCTATCACACATCCATTTGGGGACCAGTTTCTTGTTCTGTAGAATGAAAAGTGACCCTTAAGGTCTTTTATACATAGATACATTGACAGTAATCCTAAACATGTATCTTCTATAACAATTTAAAATGAATTCAGTTGTATTGATTTCAAATAAATATTAAGTTAAAATTCCCTAATAAAGTGTTACTAATTAGAAACTTCAAAGTATAAATGGCAATTAATACTTTAGAATCATTTGTAATATACCCATTATTTATTTCTGAAAATCTGTTCTGTATCAGGCAATTAATTTCAAGGGTTTTTTTTTTTTTTTAAGAAAAACAGCTTTATTGAGATAAAATTTATATGCCATGTAATCTACCCATTAAAAGTAAACAATTCCTCGTTTTCTAGAATATTCACAGACGTGAAACTATCATTATTGTCAATTTTATAATATTTGCATTATCTTTTTTTTTTTTTTTTTTTGAGACGGAGTCTCGCTCTGTTGCCCAGGCTGGAGTGCAGTGGCTGGATCTCGGCTCACTGCAAGCTCCACCTCCCGGGTTTACGCTATTCTCCTGCCTCAGCCTCCTGAGTAGCTGGGACTACAGGCGCCCGCCACCTCGCCCGGCTAGTTTTTTGTATTAGAGACGGGGTTTCACTGTGTTAGCCAGGATGGTCTCGATCTCCTGACCTCGTGATCCGCCCATCTCGGCCTCCCAAAGTGCTGGGATTACAGGCATTATCTTACAAAGAAGCCCGAGACTGCTTAATGGGTATAACGTTTCCTTTTAGAGTGATGAAAATGTTCTGGAACTAGAAAGTGGTGGTGGTTGTATGAATTCTGAATGTACTGAATGCCATTAAATTGTGAATTTTAAAATGATGAATTTTATGTTATGTTGTATTCTATCACACATACAAAAACACAACCATAGACTGTAGCTATCACATCTATATTCCATTCCTCCCCACTGACCCTAAGCACCCAGTAATCTACTTTCTGTTTCTATAAAGTTGCTTATTGTGGATATTTTATATACATTGAATCATATAGTATGTGTTTATTTTGTTTGTTTGTTTCTGGCTTCTTACACTGAGAACATTTTCAAGGTTCATTCATGTTGCAGTATATGCCAGTATTTCATTTTTTATGGTTAAATAATATTCAACTGTATGAATGTATCACATTTTATTTATTCATTCCTTAGTTGATAGACATTTAGGTTGTTTTCATTTTTGTCTATTATGAGCAATGCTGCTATGAACATTCATGGACAAGTTTTTTGTAGACACATGTTTTGATTTACTTTGTTTATATCCCTAGGAGGGCTATTCCTACCAGCAGTGTATGAGGTTTCCCATTTCTTCATATCTTTACCAACATTTGTTATAATCTGACTTTTTTTTTCTGAGACAAGGTATAGCTCTGTCACCCAGGCTACAGTGTAGTAGAGCAATCATGACTCACTGCAACCTCAACATCCTGGGCTCAAGTGATCCGCCTACCTCAGCCTCCCAGGTAGCAAGTAGCTGGGACTACAGGCATATACCACCATGCCTGGCTAAGATTTGTACATATATATATCTTTTTTTTTTTTTCTTGGTGGGGAATGGGGGAGAGACAGGGTTTTGTCATATTGCTCAGGCTAGTCTCGAACTCTTGAGCTCAAGAAATCCACCCACCTTGGCCTCCCAAAGTGCTGGGATTATAGGCCTGAGTCACTGTGCTCACCCTATAATTTGACATTTTAAATTATAGCCATCCTAGTGCATCCTAGTGAGTATAAAGTGGTATCATGTGGTTTTGGTTTACATTTCCTTGATTACTAAACATGTCAAACACCTTTTCATGTGTATTTTGCCTAGAAATATGCTCCTATAGTCAATATTTTGCATAGACTCTTAAGGGGTTCACAGACCTTCAAAGTTATGAACCCCTAGAGAAGAGTTATTGGGCGGACACATAGAGAGAAATTGTCATGAGAGTAATTATAAATAATATTTAAACATAGTAAATAATACAAAGCATACTTGTCTCATTTGTGCTGCTGCATATTCAATAAGAAAACTGAAGGAATAGATTTTAACATTAATTGTACTAAAATTTTAGATTAATTTCCACTGCATGATTCTTAATGGGAGTGAAGAGGGAAGAATCCCAATTCCTATCAGAATCAGGAACATACATTACACATCATCATCTCTGAAACCAAAGAGAAACCTCATAAACTAAGTGAGTCAGGAAAGGTTACCTATATTTTTATATCTTTCTTGTACAAATGAGAAAGTACTAAATAGAATTAGAAAACCAATAGATTGATATCTACAAAACAAGGGAGGTATTTGCGTAACAGGAGAGTGAAAAGAGGTCTAAACATGTACTAAATTGAAGGATCAGTATTTTCGGGATAAGTATTAGATATTGGGAAAAAATAAACACTATTCAACAAGAGTCAACAGTTATTTTGGCTGAGCACCAGCTTACCATTGCCACTGCATCTTTACACTTATGACATATGAAGTTGTCTGTTCCCAGGTAGAAAATGAACAATTTGCACAGTGGTCTGAGGAGTCACCTTCAAAGACTGGACCTTTGCTGTGACTGTTGGAGTACCAGTGGTTTTAGCTTTAGAAACTCAAAGAAATTTGCTTAGGTAGCTTTTGGAGGGGCATTATACCCTGGTGACAAAATCTTTAAATGGGAGAAAAATCTACTTATGTTAGAAGCTTGCACATTGGCATTTCTTAAGGCAGTCATACTTGGTTTCTCCATAACATCAGCTTTTAGACAATGGAATGATTTGGAGTTGCAATTAAAATCCTGAGCAGAATCCCTTGTAGGATGTTTCATTACATAACTGCAAAGACAGCAAAAAAAGATAAGCAATTCAAGCTCTCTACCTTATTTCACCTTCTCTAATGTGACCTGCCAGTTCTTCAATAAACTTTTCTCCTTTCATCCAGTAGATCATTGGCCCAGACTCTCCACTGAATCCGAAGAATGCTTTGCAGGGAATGTTCAGAGGCTTACCTGAGAATGAGAGAAAAATAAATGAGCAAATGACTCCTGATTATCAGTGGGAGACAGGAAGCGACCATTTAACATCCAAAGGAAAACTCAGAGATGACCCAATTTTCAACTATTTTTCTAGTCATCTTATCATTGTACCTGAGAAAAATTTTAAATAGTTATGAGGGTTTCTAGAAAAGTCTTAAATTCAAAGTATAATCAAAAGTGAGAAAATAAAGTTACTCAGTTTTCTGTTTGTTTGTTTGTTTGTTTTTGAGACGGGGTCTGGCTGCGTCACCCAGGCTGGAGTGCAGTGGCGCAACCACAGCTCACTGCAGCCTTGACCTCCCTGGCTCAAGTGATCCTCCCACCTCAGCCTCCCAAGTAGTTGGGACCACACAGGGTCTCCCTGTGTTCCCAAAGCTGTTTGTTACTCAGGTTTTAAAACTGTTTATTTTTACTGCCTCCTTCTTATAATATGAAAAAAACAAATGAAAAGACTCTTTTTTCTTTATTTTTGAGAATATTAAGCACTGCTAACTTGAACTTACCCTTGAAGCTAACATTAATCAAAAGTATAAGTTAATTTTTGGTTGGTGAGAAGACATATCATAATATACTCTCCACTGTTATTAAAATTACATGGAAATTTGTTTATTCTGATATTTACATGTTTTAAGAAAAATTAGGTAATATAAACTATAATGGTTATTTTTAGACATCAAATTGACTGGATTAAGAAATATTAATATCTAGATAGCTGGTAATGCATTATTTCTGGGTATGTCTGTCTGGGGTTGCCAGAAAAGAGTGGTATTTGAGTTTGGTGACTGAACGGGAAGATTCACTTTAGTGTGAGTGGGAAGCACCCAAGTGGCTGGGAGCCTGGATAGAACAAGAAGTCAGAATGAAGGCACTGTGTAAAATGGGGCCTCCTTGAGATGGTCTATCAAAAAATGACTGCTCTTTTCTTGGCACTACACATAGGTACTGACAATTGCTGCAATTTCTCCTGGAAGGAATGTTTTTACTCTCCCATTAAACAGATTCTTGTCAAATAAACACAAGAGACAGATATTTCAGCAGTCTAGTTTCTACAAATGCTGAATAAATATCCTGAAGCCTCTTGTCAATGGTTGAAAACAGGAAAACCATCCAAACATCATATGTAATACTCTGAGGAGAGTCCCAAAGTGATCAGCTCTTATGCCAGATACAGGGACTCAATGTGTGCCAGGGGATGGGCACCTCCTCTTCTAAAAGGCATGAAAGGGATCTCTGCATTTATTGGGCAAATAACCTGAAACATAATGTTTCAAGGGATTTCTAAAATCTGGCTTAGGCACAAACTCTTATCTAACATTTTATCTATTTGCTGCTGTACGGTTTTGCCTCCAGGCATTTTCAGAGTAATTCCTATGTTACTATGTGACCTGTTAGTAGAGACAGCCAACTTATGTTTGCATCTAAAGTAGGTTGAAGACTATCAAAATAAAGAGAACTTTGTGAGGTGCTGCCTCAGTGCTATGTAATAAAGTAAGTGAAGCTTCTTGCAAAGTGGCGTACATGCAGTGGATTGGCTCTCGTTGCGCTATAATTCCCCAATTTCTCTTATCAGAGAGCTCTGTGAACATCTGCATTGTGAGAAGGCTGCTCAGAGATCTTAAAAATCTAGAAATCTCAACAGTCTTAAATTTTACAGCCCTGTATTTGCTGGACACATCTTGAAATGAATAAACTCAAATTATCAATGTGTTCAGGAGAGTCTCTGGGGAAAGAGTTCAAACATCTATGTATCATTGAGTTTTATTGGATTTTAGAGCCAAAACTTTTCCAAACAAAACTGCGAGGTAAATCAAAATGTGATGACGTTGTGATGGTAGTAGAGTTTGTGTGCCTCTGTGTGTCTGTGTCTGGTGGGTAGATGGGGGGATTTAAGAAGGAAGTGGCAATTGGAGAGGAGTAGGAGCCACATCTTATAAGTCCTACCATTTATAAATAATGAAGATATACATCAGTGGTATATTGGTAAATATTTAAAACTGGCTTTCTGGAAATAATATGCATGTAAATACATAAGTTTACAAATTTTGTGGATATGAAGGATGTCACAGCGTTTATAAAATACATAAATAATAACAAAACACAATATGTTATGGTAAATTCCATGTACTCAATTGATTCTCACAGAGTGCTTTCACTGATTTTTGTGGAACCTATGTTTGCAAATGAAAAACAAGTGTAGTTCCAATATGCGTATTAGTCAATATGTTCATGAACATTAATGACAAAAGTGGAAATAAACCAATAGACGAATATCAGAATTTCACTCATTCTTCAGTTACATGAGTGACTTCTTTTGATGAATTGGATAACAGATTATATTTGCATTTCAAATCCATACCATTGCTGTTAGAAACACTTTAAAAGAAACAAACCAAATTATCTGATGTGAAAGAATTGTAGGTGAGGGTGAAAAGATAAAATCTTTTTTTATTTTCACCACTTATCTTAATCTCCTCTTCTACCAGGATTTTCTAAAAATTTCTCAAAGGCAACAGTTTCATCTTCAATACTTTCATCTAACTCTGCTCCCCACCCTTTAATGGGCTGCATATTTTTGTAAAGGCCACAGATAGCCATCACTGCCCTTTTCTTGACAAACAATTTTTTCCATTCTGTTTTTCTCTTTAAACAATTTTCAACCTCTTTTAAAGTCTCCTTCAAATTGTCCTATTATCTCTGCTTCTTGGTATGCAGTTTTTTTCCATTGTGTCAAGGGAAGCACCATCAAGGTGGTTAATTTTCTTATGAAGTTTATAATTTCATTTCTGTATTTTCATTTACAGCAGGGATTGTTTTCTGTGGTAGTCCCAGATGCTGAGGGTTATAGAGGAATTCCCTTAGAGAAGTTCCAAGGTTGCCTCTACCAAGGCCCTACAAGTTTCACTGGTTTGGAACCAGTTTTTCTGTCAATTTCTTTGCTTGGGGGTTTGTGCCATTTATGAGTTATGTGAATTTAGAGTCCACACCCATGCTCGGTACAGGTTTAGAGTTCCAGTTTCTCTTAAATGTTTCATTGGATTCATAGATATGGCCCTGGACTGAATGTGAATTTTCTGTACACTTTCCTGAATCAATAAGCAGAGTTTTCTAGGCCCCATTTCATAGATTTCAGGGTTTATAAATCATTCAGTTTTCTAGATTTTTGCTGGGATGTGTTCTAACTCCATACTTCACATAGATCCTGAACTCAAGCCCTTATACCCTGAATGTCCACATTTGGTTTTGATATCTCCAGGAGATCTTCAATTTCAATTTATACTTCTTTCTCTTACTTTGATCTCCCTATTTATCACTAAAGCCTGAGAATTTCCCTTACTTGCTTTCCAGTTGGGCTAAGCATGTAAATTCTTTGCCTTATGTTGACCAGCATTTCTCTGTAGTTAGAACAAGAGGTGATCTTTACCATATCAATTCATTCTACCTTATTGACTAGGTGCCTGAAATTCTACCACAAAAATCTATAAATTGTGTATCTTTGTCTTACGTAATCAGGTTAATTTTAATTTCACCAGTCTTACCAAGGAGTTAAACATAGAGTTTATATTAATGTTACTGTTAACGTATCCTTTCTTCCCTGGGCCCACATTTTGATTTGACCTTTCAAAATAAGATAAAAAGAAGAATGGATAGTTGTGATGCCAATGTGAAAACCAATCACCTTCCTGCTGTGCTTTATGTGTTTAACTTTGTAGCTTCACCTTTCAAGAAGTTTATTTCTTCCTTAAGATAATTCACAATTAGGGCACAAATCTTTTATCTGTATTTGTGAGAATGCCCTGAATCACATGCTCCAGTCTAGCAGGCCAGTGTCAGAACACATGGAACACTGGAGCATGTTACTTTCAGTTGTAAGACATATTTTAAGAAGACTGTTGCTAATAATGCAGTTTATGAATTAATTATTTAAAAATTTACAGGAGAGTTGAAGTCATCATTATATTAATGTCACTCTTACACATATGCAATCCAGTATACTTCTTTTTGAATGAGAGTTAAGGGGTAAAGTCATAACTTGTATATGAGGCATATTTAATTGTTATGGTTTGAATGTCCCCTCCAAAACTCCTATTGAAATCCAATTGACAATGTAACAGCGTTGAGAATTAAGACCTTTGGAAGATAATTAGGTCATGAGGGCTTTGCCCTTATGAATGGAGTAATGTTATTGTAGAACTGGGTTAGTTTTTGTGAGAGTGGGCTTCTGAGAAAAGGATGAGTTGAGCTGGATTTCCTCTCTCTGTCTCATATGTGTGCCTTCTGCCATGGGATGACCCTCACCTAATGCCAACAGGTGCTGATGCTCTTGGACTTCTCAGCATCTAGAACTGAGAGCCAAATAAATCTCTTTTCCTTACAAATTTCACCATCTGTGGTCTTCTGTTATAGCAGCAGAAAATGGACTAAGATAGAAAAATTGGTACTGAGAGTGGGATTGTTGCTAACAAATATCTGAAGATGTGGGAGTGGCTTTGGAACTGGGTAATGAGCAGAGGCTAAAGGAATTTGGAGGAAAAGGCTAGAAAAATCCTGTACTGATGTGGACAGACCATAAAGAGAATTCTGGCAAGGGCTCAGGAGAAGAGAAGAGCTGTAGGGAAAGTTTGATCTTCTTAGAGATTACTTAAGGGGTTATGACCAGAATGCTGGTAGGAACATGGACAGTAAAGGCAACTGTGATGAGGTATCAGAAAGAAATGAGAAACAAGGTACTGAAAACTGGAGTAAAGGCCATCCTTGTTATAAAGTGGCAAAGAAGGTGATTAAATTGTGTCTCTGTCCAGGGCTTATGGAATACAGAGCTTTAAAGTGATACACTAGGGCATCTGGTACAAGAAATATCAAAGCAGCAAGGTATTCAGGCTACTGTATGGCTACTTTTCATTGCATATAGGGACATGTCAGAGCAAAGAGATGGCTTAAAGATGGAATTAATACTTAAAAGGGAAGCAGAATAG